AAAAAAAAAAAAAAAACCCAACCAACCAACCAAAACAACAACAAAAAATTAAAGGTTCTGCTGGGCGGTGGTGGTGAATGCCTTTAATCCCAGCACTCAGGAAGGCAGAGCCAGGTGGATCTTTGTGAGTTTGAGGCCAGCCTGGTCTACAGAGTGAGTTCCAGGATAACCAGGACTGTTTTACAGAGAAACCCTGTCTCAAACAAACAAAAAACAGGAAAAAAAAAAAAAAGGTTCTGGTAAAGAATCTCTGGCCTTTGTGGAGAGCTTACATTTCAGACTACTCAAAATATAAATTAATCCAGCTGGGCTGGTCAATGACTAGACCACGGTCCCACTCCCCTCAGGAAAGCGAGGCAACATTTAGCATGTGCTCAATTTAACCGTGTCAAAGCCATAGGTGGAATAATTACCCCTTTGATAGACAGCGCCCTTTGACTTCCCGGGATCCCTACCCGCTAGAACTCTTCCTACAAGCCATGTTTTTCTGGTTCTTTCAGCCTTCTTATTCTTTCTCTAGAGTTTCTTTCCCATCATGTGTTTGATCTCCATACTGGCTTAATTTTAAAAGCATGCTTTTTTCCTCATCAGTTCCATTCTCCTCTGGGCAACTGCTGAGATTTACAGTTTACCTGCCTGGAGGTGTTTCTTTTAAATCCTAATAAAATTGTCTTCTTTGAGTAAAGTATGACTTTGCTTGACTTTCAAATTTCTGCCTTTTAAATCTGTAATTGGAGGAAAAACCAAACCCACTTCTGTGGTCCTAGAGAGAATCAGCACCCAGGTCTTGCAATGTGATAGGCAGGTGGTAATGCACCTTTTAAATTTAATTTAATTTTTTTCTTTTCTTTTTTTGGTCTTTCGATAGAGGGGTTCTCTGTGTAGCTTTGCGCCTTTCCTGGAACTCACTTGGTAGCCCAGGCTGGCCTCGAACTCACAGAGATCCGCCTCAGTTTCTCAGTTTTCACTCTTACCTGTAAATTGAGAAAAAGAAAATCCTAGCTTATACAGCATTGTATACCTGGGCTCATACAAACTTGGGCTATATTAGTTGATGTATGTGGCTAATATCTACAAAGTTACTGAAAGAACTAATTAAATTTTTGTTTTGTTTTGTTTTGTTTTTTCGAGACAGGGTTTCTCTGCGTAGCTTTGTGCCTTTCCTGGAGCTCACTTGGTAGCCCAGGCTGGCCTCGAACTCACAGAGATCCACCTGGCTCTGCCTCCCGAGTGCTGGGATTAAAGGTGTGTGCCACCACCGCCTGGCTAATTAAAAATTTTTGTAACAAAAGAAAAAAATTTCTTATAGAGCTTTAGTCACAGAAGTGCAAGTTCTCTTCCCTCAGATGGTACAATGATATGTTTATTTATAGACTAGTCTATTATGTGTTGTGCCTTGGGTAGACTTCATTAAACCAGTAAAAGTAAACAATGGGATAACTGGTAACAGGTCCGAATTTTTCCTTTCTTTCTGTGATTAGACAAGCAGCATGTACTCTTGGCAGGTATGATGGAAAGATCCTCTACTAGTCTGACATCTAGAGAGGTACTTTGTTGTCCTTTAAACATTTACCACTCTCCCATCGTTTTGTGACGTTTTGAAACTGTCTTGATGGCCTTGAACTCCCGATTTTTCTGCTTCCTCCACACAGTGCTGGGATTTCTGGTGTGCAACATCAGACCTCGCATTTTTTTTTTTTGGTGGGGAGAGGGTTGTTTCCAAGACGGGATTTCTTTGCATAACAGCCTAGTTGTTCTGGAACTCACACTGTAGACCAGGCTGGCCTTGAACTCACATAGATCCTCCAGCCTCTGCCTCCGGGAGTGCTGGGATTAAAGGCGTGCGCCACCAAGCCCAGCCAGATGGGACACTTTAAAAGTTAGCTCTTTCGGTCCTGCCAGTGCTGCTGACCAAGACCCAGCGACTGCAATACACAGCACCCCAGGAGCTGTTTGCAGGGACGTCACTCGCAAAGAATTTCAGGACAAGAGAATATGAAGCAGAGGTAGAGTATACTTAGGTGTTTGTTTGTTTTTAAGCAGATTTGTTCACAGGGGCTCAGTGGAAACACACACACACACACATACACACCCACCCAGGTGCAAAGGTGTGGCCTTTTCTTTCTTTCTTTTTTTTTTCTTCCAAGACAGGGTTTCTCTGTGTAGCTTTGCGCCTTTCCTTTCCTGGATCTCGCTCTGTAGCCCAGGCTGGCCTTGAACTCACAGAGATCCGCCTGCCTCTGCCTCCCGAGTGCTGGGATTAAAGGCGTGCGCCACCACTGCCCGGCAAGGTGTGGCCTTTTCAAAGGGAGCCACATCTCCTTGTCTTTACAGGATCTGTATGTAAGATTCTGGTGTGTTCTGAGGTGAAGCTGGAAGACTTGCTAAGGAATTTAAATGAGATCATAGAGTGGTTCTTGAGGTACACTGGGCAGTTACAGCTGAAAAGTTAAAGCCCCAACTCACTAGGATTGTAAGGGACATTAGGGTGCTGTCATCAAATACAAGTATGCTTGGTTGCAAATTTCCAGAAAGTATCTGGGAAAGGAACAAGACCATACTCGAGGTTGCGCGTACTGAGTCCTTATGTATTCATAGTTCACTGCTATTTTAACTTTCTTCTTTGAAATCTGAGGCAGGGTCTCATCTGTAGTGCTGGCAGGCCTGGGTTTTCACGATGTTGACAGGCTAGTCTGGAATTCATAGTGATCTGCTCACAAAGTTCTGGGAGCAAAGGTGTTACCCATGACTCCAGGATCTTTTTCTTTTTGGGTTTTTAGAGACAGGGTTTCTCTGTGTAGCCTTGGCTATCCTGGAACTCACTCTGTAGATCAGGCCTACCTCTGCCTCCTGAGTGCTGGGAATTAAAGGTGTGGGCCACCCCCGCCCTGCTGACTCCAGGATATTTTAACTTTCTTGGAATAGTTTTCTATACAAAGTAATCTTCAAGGCAAGAGTTGTTCATTGCACTGAATTCTTGACTCTGAGCCAGTGAGAGGCCTCCTTTTTTCTTCTCATGTCCCCATAATTGCCACTTCTTCCTATTCTGTCCAGTTTGACATCAATCCTCAGAGCCAGGAACATAAAACCAGGTGTTGTGGCTTCGAAGGGATAAGGAGAATTCCAGGCTAGTCTGGGTTACATAGCTGAGATCCTAGCTCAAAAATCAAAAGCAACCCAAGTTCTCTTTCAATATATACATCACTTTTACGCACGCAAGTCTGGCATGATGGAAAGAGTTTGGATTAGCAGAGCTGGGTGTGGTGTGGCATGGCTGTGACCCCAGCGTTTGGGAAGCTGACTCAGGAGGATCGGGCGGTTCGAGGTTATCCTTAGGTACATAACTCCTTTGAGTGAGACAGAGCAACGAGAATGCCCCGCCCCCCACGCCCCATTGCAACCTCTGCCTGCCGGTTATACAAACCCACCTAAAACAAACTGAAGCTTAAACCTGGTAGTCAGGTCCAGCAGCCAAGGTCCAGAGAGTAACTTGGAATACTTTTTCTTAATATGAAACCAGTTCCCTTATGTGAAAAAGGGGGAAAACACCTTAGACACTCGTACAGGATTAAAACAGACAGCATCCAGTAAGTTTTAAATCCTTTCCCTTTTACGCAGGTGACATTTATTCATTGCCCAAGGTGGCAATCTCCACGATGTATAAAGGCTGAGTTGCAAATCAGGGTGAGTTTACATTGCAGCGGACTTTCGGGGAAGTTTTAGGAGCATTGCACTAAACTACAAACCCCATAATGCATATAAAGACTTAGTTTCTGTGATATGACGCTCCCGGGGCTCGGGCGAAGGTAGAAACAACTATTTTTCCCTCGTTATGACCTTTCCCTCTCGTTTCTTCTAAGCACACGCTTCTTCTCTCGGAATGCCAATTTCACCTCTTTCAAAGGGAACCTTGAGTCACCACGTTTAAGGGAAGCTGAACACCGTAACATTTATGATTGTTTTTTTAAAACAACTATGGTTTGCGCTATGCAGATTCCCAGGACAACTCGGTGGGAAGGATCTACCTACTGAAGGGTGGTTAGAAAAACACGAGTCGCCAGTGCGATGCTATCTAACAGCCCTTGGGCGCTCCTGGGAGAGCCCGGCTCCAGCCAAGCCCCCGGGTCCCTAACCCGGTTTCCGCGTGTCAAACGCCCGGCGCGCCCCGCCGGTGGCACGCGACCGCGGCGCCCAATCACTCCGGGCACTAGCAGGGCCGGCTCCGCCCACGCGGCGCCGAGTGCG